TGACAAGTAATCTCTCAAGATTTGACTGAAGTGGGATTTGTAGTTGTGTGATTCTTCAGGGAAAGTAATGTAACAGCTGTGAAATAATGTGCTTTTTTAAACAGCATTTTTTACAAGCAGAAAGGATTTTAATTGATGTATTTAGCAGGTATTAAACAGCTCTCCACACTCTTGTCCAGTGGGAAGTGGTTGTCGTGTGCCCCATGCTGTTATCCCATATGGCACAACTGCCCACATTCAAGATCCCTTTTATTTGAATCACATCAAAATCCCTGACTAATTTAGACTTGCTATTGGAAGTCTTTAAAAAGAAATGTGACCAAAATACCATATTTAAATTAAGGCCTCTCCCCACTTTAGTTTAGAGAGGAATGTGGAGCTATGCTCTTTATCAGGATCTCAAAAATGTGCATGATTGCTCATGCTCTTTTGCGTGTTAGTTAAGAACAGACAAATACACTCTATTGTATAAACTTTCTCATTATCTTAATCTTTACTTTTTTTAAATTGGTATATAAAGTTGCATAAAGTTATCATGTAAAATATAAGGTTTTGAAGTCTATGTACATCGCAGAATGACTAAATCCAACTAACGCATATATTTACTCTTTACTCGTATTACTCAGTGGCCCTTCAAGAATTACAAACATTTTCATAAAAACTTAGAGTGGTAAAAACATTCCTACTTTCCTTTCAGTGTTATTATGAGACAATCAAATAGAGTAACATGTGAGAATGGTTTATAAACTCTAAATTTTAGTGCAATATATAGTACATTGGACAGTAATAACTTTATATCAATTAAGATGTGAATCCTCTCAAAAAAAGAACGAATACAGTATCGGTAGGATGTTGCAGAACAGGAACTCACAATTGAACAGTAGAATATCTGACTTGAACTTAATAACACTATTTTGTTTAAATACTCAACTGTATTTTCTTAAGGAAAGTAAGAATAATCATAGTAATGAAATGAGCATTATGTTCAAAGAAAATTTAATAAAGTTCTTGAATAATTATCATCTAATACATAGAACAGTTCCTCATGTACTTTTGTTACTAAATATGTATTTCATAAAGAAAGAGTTGTGAAAATATTACATTAAGGCACAAATGTTAATTGCTAGTATGATTATGTATTTGGAATTAACATAATCTTTTGGTAAGTCATAATTAAATAAATACAACTTTCTGTGTAAAAGTGAAAAGTATAAGAACAGATACAAACCCTCTCAACTCTCTGATGTCTGCGGTAGGTTTTTAAGCTATATTTGAATATTGCCATACTCTGAATTAAGAAATTACAATACAATTCTGTCAGGTATAGGAAGGAAAAAAGCATTTTCCTGTTTAAAAATTTTACTTATGTGTGAAGGAGACAGATGGCAGAGCAGAGGGACGAGCTGGTAGACATATATTATGAAGTGCTTAGCACATAAATCAATAGTCTTTTAAAATTCAGCCTTAAGTTAAGAATGACTTCATGAGATGCAGTGTAAGTTCTGTCATCGCAAACATAAAATACATTCTTAATAGAATAATCTTGTTGGTGGTGTTTTGCAAAACTATAATAGATAAAGATAAATTATATGCAGCATATAAATTATAGATATACTACCCAGGTGGTTAATATTGTGAGAAAGTTAATGAGATTCTGATTTACAAGATTGCTTATTTTCACAAATTAATCTTCATTTTGAGGATACAGAAATCTACTGGCTTTACGAAGAGAAAACACATTGCTAAATTTCACCCTCACTTGATGTTATAACATTTTGCCACTAGGGCTCATTGTTGCTCTTTGCATAGAGATTCCAAGGTTCAATGTCTTTACTTCCTTGCTTAATCTGGCAGTTCATTATTTTCATCTCTAAAAAACATCAAATTCTAAAAATATATCAATATTTAAAAAGAAGTATATTAGGTCTAGAATCACTTTTTAAAAATGTAGTAGGATATCCAATCTATACAAAACTGATACTGTGTAGAAAAATCTATCCATGTGTCAGTATTATAAATGAATACAAACATGCTATATTATTTTATCAAACATGTTTAATAGCTTATTTGCAAATACTTCTAAACTTGATGAATTTAATGAAAATTGCTATGGAATCTTGGTATGTGTAATTTGGAATACTTTAAAAATCACTTTTAAAAAGCAAAAACTAATTTTTTCAATAATATTGAAATGTTTTAATTAAAACATCTTTTTAAAAACTATTTGGTAGACCAGTACATGGGAAGAAACTCATGATACACATTTAATACACACACACACACACACACACACACACACACACACACACACCAAATTAAAATTTTTGTGTTTAGACACAAATACAAATATTTCAATCCACATGGTAGGATCCCAGAACTAATCAGAAGTTCTTTCCACTTTCTAAGCCACCCTTGCTTCCTCCTGCAACCCAAATCATTGCCTACACTTGCCGATCTAATTACTCTGAAATTCTCTGCAACCTAACTCTCATATCCAGCCAATTAAAAATATATGCTGGTTTTCTGTTGCCCAGAGTTCCCATTGTACATGTGTTATATGAGTTTTATGAGCTCTGTCAAATACAGGAGGCTCAAAGAAATGTATGTGAATAACATAACTTGTATTTACACTAAATCAGTGATTACTATCGTGATCACAAAACTCCATGTATCTTATTAAATTATATGTCATCTTTTCCAGAAAAAGTTGCCACTTAAAGCTTTCCAAAAATCCCAATGCTTCAAAGCAAGTTAAAATTCTAATCTAAAATCTCCCTAACCAGGTGCAAGGTAAATTTCCTCTCTCATTTCCTTAATAACCTTTCTCAAATTAAAAACACAATTCAAAAATGTGCACATATGTTGAACACACATATAAGTTTTGTTCAGCTTGCATATATGAGAAACTAATTTATAAAGAATGTTCTTCCCTGACTTGTCCATAAGCTTATTCCCATCCTTCTACAAATACCAGCTATGCCCCTTAAGTCTGTCTATCCCCAACTCTTAGTAAGCGAGACTCTGTTTTTCTAATAACCAAACTAATTGCCTCTGCTCTACACTTTCTGGTCTTGGGCTGAAAAACTGAGCATTCATATGCATTCAGTTGTAAATATTCAACTTTCAAAATAGTTCAATTTTTTTGTACTCTAATAGTATGCCAGGTTATAAAGAAGAATTAGACTGAGCATTTCGATCCATATTTCAACAACAGATAGAGGTAAATTTCCAATTTTTGCCTACTTAATTTTATATGCTGAGAGAGTTTCAGGAGATACAGGCAGAGTACAGCTAAGTGAAAGAAGATGGACAATGTAATTTGAATGAGAAAGATGTACAGTGATACTTTTCCTTTCAAATTACCTGACAATTCAAGAGACATGGGTTATATATTAAGGAAAGAATGTAGTCCAAGACAGCATATGCCTGAGTGACTGGGACTGTCTTAGATAAATGGACAGCTTTCTATACTGTAGAAGTTAGATATTATATACAAGATAAAGGATTTGACTGACATATCAGTATCTGAGAAATACCTGGCATATCAATATCTTCATGCAAATAAGGAAGGCTATTCTAAAGGCATTAGCTTAACTTTTAGTTGGGGATGAGCATGTATTAGTAAAATCAAGAGCACTGAATAGCTTAATAATTAAAAAAAAAACTTATCAGAAAACCTATGGAAAACTGCATAAAGCACAATGAAAACAATTATCAATGAAAATTGCTGAGATACTTCTTTTCTGTGAATTGTTTTCTGAAACATAATAGCTTCCAATCTTCTTTATTTTATAGTGCTTATATAAAAGTAGCAATTTATCATAGGAATTATATTCCTATGAAAAATTAAACTAATAAATGTTTAACAAATATGACTCAAAAAATAAATGATCATCTTTAATGTACATTTAGTTATATTTAATAATAATTTGTGATATTTGCACAAAAGACAATGGCCAACATTTTGAGGTAACATTTAAAATAGTCCTCCAAAAATTACACAAATTCTAAGTTTTGCTGTTTTTCAATGTGCCACCCAACTCATTTCAATCTGTACTTTGTGGATGTAAGGTATTAAATCTCTAGAGTTCTAAATTTTTAGAGTTCCATCAATTTTGTTTGCACTTTCAAATATATTGAACACATAAAGTGAACAATTACCAACATCAACACAGACAATATGGTATGAACATTCTTTATGACACTCTGTCCTTCTTTATATTCTAGGACCAGGCTTGGAGCCTGGTAACTAGAAATTGCTACTCTCACTGGAACAATTCTTTTTAAAGGGAATTGATATCCATGTAAATACAGAGTGCATACTTACAGCAAGCAGCCATTAACCTTTAAACCTAACCCAGCTTCTCCTGAGCACAATCATTTACCTGGTGTTATCAAGTTAACATCAACTGAACCATTATTATCTTGCAGACTTTGTGGATTTACCTATGAAGACTTTTTTTGGCTTTTATAATCTTTGATCTTTTTACCTACAGTTTACTATGGTTGAAGAACACAAAAATATTTGCTTTCACAGAAAATTTGAAGAAAAAATTGTCTGATGTTCCACTTTCCTTGCTTTTAATGAACTCATTCCCAGATTGTTCATACAGTAGAATCATTACAGATTTGTTGAAAGGTAAAAACAAATACTTTAATTTGAAATGAATAAGTAAAATTCTAAATAAATTTTTCCTATTTTCTATATTACACAATGTTTTGTATTTCTATAAGTGCGTCTGAATTAAAATTGTGCGATTATTTGCTACTCCATGTAACAACACTGAAGTTGTGTTAATCAGCAGATTAGCTACAAAGCTTTATTATACATATACATTTAAGTGTTTCTTCATGGAATGTGTATTTTGTGATTTTCTTTACAGTCTTTGTGTTTTCATCTCCAACCAGTCAATAAAGGTTTTGATCGTTTTGACCAGATTAAGCGATACCTCGATTAGTGACCGGAGCCGCGGAAGACAGGAGGCCAAACTCAAGCAGGATCAGCTCTCAAACTTTATTGCGTACAGCGAACCGGACCTAACAAGGTCCGCCACCCTCAACGTTGGTTCCTCTTCTGCCCGTTGGGGGCAGGAACAACCTCTTATAAGGGGAAGCAGTATCCAATCACAGAGAAGCGCGCCTAACAAGCTGATAGGCTAGCGTCACGGGTAACTGGGCAGATATGACAATTTGGCGGGCTTGTTCAGGCCGGGAAGAACCCGGAAGCAGGAAATGGGCACCATCTCAGGCGGCTTCCCACATCTCCCCCTTTTTTATTTATTAAAATAGGATGGTCTGTGGGTCCCTCCAAGGTGTCTATGACCTTGTTGCTGTTAGACACCTAGGAGTGGGCCTACCTTGTAGGCCGAGGCATGAGAGAATGTAGAGGTCTATACCCTGCTGTGCATCACCCTGTTTTGTGCATATCCTTGCGCCAGGACCATGCTCAAGGTGAGTGGTTCATTTTTTCGCAGGGCCAGGCTTTTGTGAACCGAACCTGGATGCATATAGACATTCATTCCTGCCTTCCCCCCAACCTTTGGGGCGGATGGCACTGCAGTACCCTTGGTCTCGCATCTCAATGCCAATAGTTTGACTCCGGGAGGGACCCCTGGCCTTATAGGCCATGTATATCTGAGTGGAGCCTGTCTTAGGTTGACTGGGAGGGCTTTTCCCGTCTTACCTGTCATTGGCTTGCCCACTCAGCTCTTATAGCTGATGTTCTGCAATGTGAAGGAGATATGCGGCGGCCTGCTGGCCTGATGGACCACCTGCTGTCATTTGCATGGCTGTCATAGCCGTGACCTTGACCTGTTGCTGGGTTTGCATCGGAGTTAAGCGGGTGGGTCATATTGGCTGCGGAGGATGTATTTTTCAGTGTCTGATTAAGTGTCATAAAGGGGCGGAGGTCTAAGCAAGCACCCAGCACATTGCAAAGTTGATGCTGTGCGAAGAGGGAGGAAGTATGTTTAAGGGGATCAGGTTGAGGTTCATTACAATATCCCGTGGCCCCCCAAGCGGCCCCCACTGAACAATTCCGAAGGGTGATCAATAGGAACCCACAGAATAGAAAAAGCTCCAAACCAGACATTTTAGTTTGTAGATGGTCTCGGGCGCTGAGCGTCGGTCCCAGAAGGGTCGAGTTGACTTGTGTCCGCGGGCTTATCCTCCTGTGCTTTATCAGGAACTGGTGGGGAGTTTACTGCTCGCGTCAATCTTTCCGGGACCCACAGCGGTTCGCAGCCTGGTTCCTGTGGGAAAACACAAACCGCACCTCGGGTCCAGCTAATCACTGGATCCGGGCCCATCCATTGTCCGGTAAGGACTTCTTTCCATCTCACCAGCCCTTTGTCGGCCGGGGACGGGTTATTGTGCTCCATGGCAGGGGAATGATTATTATGATTAAGGTTTCAAAAATCAATTTTTTTATGAGAGGGTGAGCCGCCTCAGCATCTGGAAAAATCCTGTTAGCAGCCTCAAGCATGCGGGCCACAAAGTCTGAAAATGGCTCTCCCTGCCCTTGTATAATTTTTGTAAGGTGACCCGTATGTTCTCCCTTTCCAGCCAGCCGTCTCCAGGCCTGGAGGCCACAGCGGCTAATTTGTTCATAAACCTGGCGAGGGTATTGAGTTTGATCTTCCTCAAAGGCTCCTCGCCCTAATAGCATATCCCTGTTCCACTCTCTCTGGTTATTTTCCCTGTTGGCTGCCGCCTGCTCTACACAGAATTCCTCATTCCAGGACTTCCAATCTAAATATTGTCCGGGGGAGAGGCAGGCGCATGCCAGCTGGGTCCAATCTCCAGGAGTTAAAAGCAGACCTGCCAATGCCTCTAAAAGCGCCATGGTAAATGGCGCATTGGGCCCATAAGCTGAAACTGCGTCCTTGATAGCTTTAAGTTGTTTAATTTCTAAGGGCTCATAATATCCTCCTCCTTCCCTGCCTCCTACTTGTACCGGGAATGCATGGAGACCGGAACACTCAAAAGGAAGCCGCGACCATACCCTCTGGTGGAAGGAACGTGAACTTGCCAAAGGGTGGAAGGGCTTAAGCTCCTCCCGTAAGGCGGAGTAGCTCGAGCAGGGTGGTGTTTGGTTCCCCTTTTTATCTTCCCGAGCCCTGAATTCCTCTTTAAGCTGTGCAGGAGGGTCCTGTTTAGCGAAGACAACCTCCTCTTCTGAACCTTCTGAATCCGAATCAGAATTAGAGCCCTGAGGGTCCTCCGGAGACCCACAATCGGCAGTGGCTCCGGGCTCCTCTGAGCATTCCGATCGAGCTCTATCAAAAGCCTGTCGGGCTGTATTAGGGAAGCGAAAGCAAAACAGATGCAAAGGGAAAAGAAAAGAAAAAAAAACCCAGCGTCCACTCGTGTGGCGCTCAAAATCTGTTAGGTGCGTCCACCCAACCCAGGTGACCCAGTACTCACCTGTCCCGGGAACCGCTGTATCTCACGTAGCTGATCAGGGTGAAGAGAAGAGGCGCTCGAGGCCTTCCGTTGTTATTGGGCCAGGTCCTCCGTCGTACCGCAGGCGACAGCAATCGCACCTCCCGGCCGAAGAGGCACGTCGCTGAGTCTTTTACCTTTTTCCCCGTACGGGCCACCAGATGACCGGAGCCGCGGAAGACAGGAGGCCAAACTCGAGCAGGATCAGCTCTCAAACTTTATTGCGTACAGCGAACCGGACCTAACAAGGTCCGCCACCCTCAACGTTGGTTCCTCTTCTGCCCATTGGGGGCAGGAACAACCTCTTATAAGGGGAAGCAGTATCCAATCACAGAGAAGCGCGCCTAACAAGCTGATAGGCTAGCGTCACGGGTAACTGGGCAGATATGACAATTTGGCGGGTTTGTTCAGGCCGGGAAGAACCCGGAAGCAGGAAATGGGCGCCATCTCAGGCGGCTTCCCACAGATTAGCAGAGCACATTTCTGGGTGTCTCTGTGAGGGTGTGCTCAGAGATGTTTGGCATGTTTGCCAGGAAACTGAGTTGGAATGATCCACCACTATTGTGTGTGGCCTTCCAATATTTTTGCAGCCAGGTGCAATGAAAGGAATGCAATGAAAGGAAAGAAGAAGGAAGGTGGCCTGGATTTTGAAAAGCTTCATTCAATTTGAGTGGACTTTTGTTCCTGCTGCTGCCATCACCTGTGGACAGTACTTATCAAAAAGTTTCTCTTACTCGCCCAAAGACTAGAAGATAGAGTCTTTCAGTCTTGATTGCTTTTCAAAGTGCAGTCTCTGGAAAGTCCAGAGAGCTCTGGCTGATAGTCTCTGTATACAGCAAGAACTGGAGATGTAATTTACAACCCCAAGTTTTCTAAAATAAATGCTCTAAGCAAAGAGAGATTAGGAGCCCAGAGTCCAGATGATAATTCCAAAGCTGTCTCAGTCACTCGTCACTTCCAATCTATGTGTCACATTTTAGCAAGTTTGCCCTTCCTTGAACCTACATCTTCTTTATGTTGCAGGACAGTACCTGGTATAAGTTGTCTGGATCCATCATACATCACCTTCTTCTCAGACCGCTTTGATTATATTCTTTGCTAGTAATATTTACCCTGTTGATCACCCTGATTTGTAGGCATCTATTTATACATATGTCTCTCTTACTGTATTCAAATTGGATGATAGTAAGTACTAGGTCTTCATCTTGGTGCTCTTAGAACATAGACATTACTTGTATGTAATTTGTTTATTTATTCCAAAAAATCCATTAGTCACCTAAAAACATGACAGAACTAAAAGAAATTTCTCTTTCAGGTCACTATTGTTTTCGCTTACTGCCTCTCTCATAGTACTTTCACATTTTACATTTCAAAATGAAATTTGTGCATGCACATAGTGGGTTTTTTCTCTCTTAATACAGTAATTTTTAAAAAAAATCTGTATGTGTCTACTCTGTGCAGGATACTCAACAAAAAATTATTTTGTCCTCCAAACCTGCTCCTTTTCCATATTATATGTTATAACTTGGGAACCATAATACATCTAATAGTTCAAACTGAGAACTATGGAGTCCTCCTAAAATAGTTTCTCTCCTTCAGCTTCCAATTTTATTTGTTTTACACATTTCCATCTCCTCTTTTACGTACTTGACACTAGCACTTTAGGTCATCTGTCACCAAGACTATTGCCATTTTCCACAGTCAAATGAAATTATCTTTAAAAAGTACAGCATAACGACATCATAATTTCTGTTAAAATATTTTACAGCAATAACTTCCATATCTTTTCTCCACCTTACTTTAAAATGAAATGTTCCTATGGAAAAACGTTCTCTGACCACATCCTCCCCTTAAATTTGTTTATGTGTTTGTTTGTATAAGCAAAATTATAATAAAAATAATTGTCTCAAGAAATTAAACACTCTTGAAAAGACAAGACAAAGTCAGAGTTACCTTGGAAGAACAAAAGCAGACTATTTCCTAATATTTGCTGTTAAAATTAGAAACAGAGATGAAGGAAGTGTTATCCACACCTCACTGGAATGCCACGATTGTTTATACTAACATTGAGATGAGAAGGTCAGGAGCACTACACTACAGTCTTTTTTTTTTTTACTATGTCAACTTTTTTTTTTTTTCATTTAGTAGAAGTGTAAAAAAAAAAAAAACAACTTAGTCTTGTTTCAAAATTAGAGAAAACTCATTGAAAATACTTGAATTAATAATCTTATTATAATGTCCTGTAAAATTCTGCTGTTTAGGTTTAGTTTTATGTAATTTATGAGAAAAATAGAATGTAGTTTGTGTAATACATTTTCTAGTAATAACACTCATGATAGATGGATAAAAGTAGACAATTTTGTTTATTGCTGTGCATAAAAACCTTATTTACTACTATGTGTCTACTAAGTGATTAACAGCTAAAATGTACTTGGATTTTAAATTAATATCATCGCCTTGAGACAAAGTCAAGTGTGAGCAAATTATAGAGATAAACTGACATTCATTTGCTCAAATCCATACCAAAAAACCCACAGTGAGTTATAAAGTAGAGATAGATTATTTACACTAATCTAATTAGCCATTTTAGATGTAGATCTCTACTCTTTGGATATAACTTGGAAGTAAATATATACATGCAAATCAGGGCTGGGGCTATAGCTCAGGAGTACAGTGCCTATGTGCAAGTGTGAGGTCATGAGTTCGAGTCCCAGGACAAAAAGCAAAAGAAAAATGTTGAAGCCAGGGGCATAGCTCAGGAGATGATGCCTGCCTGCCAAGCATGAGGTATTGGTAGCAAATATATATATATATATATATATATATATATATATATATATATATGTTTTTTGCTTATCAATAGTTGATATTGAAATTTAATAATTTTTAAATTAAGCTTAATGGTACATTTTAGATAAACATAATGATTGTGCTGATTATTGGAAATTTTTACCTGCACATGATTTGTTTTGATTCTATTTTTCCCTAATTCTCTCTCCTCCTTTCATCCCCTCTTTCTCTCACTATTTACAAAGCTTTGTTTCCATTTTAAAAACTCATATATACTTTCTGTTCCTCTCCTTCCTTCCCCACTTCCCTCACCCTAGTCCTTTTTTCCTTTTGAACAAATACTCTTATATGAAATAAACTGTAATCACATGGGTAAACATTGCTTTGTGCCCCAGGTATGAGAAAATGAAAGTAAATAAGGACCAAAATGTTGTTGTGAAATGGAATGAAATTTAATAATTTCATTATAAGAAAAGGATATTTCTTGACGTATTCTGAGAAGCTAGTTCCCTTACAGGAGGAATTTTTGCGGATGGAAATACTTAAATAAGAAATTCTTATCAAGAAAAAAAGAGAAAAGAAAGAAATCCCTACCTCATGACATATAATGAATCACTTGCATATTACAGTACTTTTTACCTACTGCCTTACGTTTTGGTGATATGTTAAATATTTTAAGTGTTA